AATACTATTTCCAGTTCAGAGGAGGGAAAAAAATGGATGGAATTTGCATTCACAATGAGCATGAGGTACGTAGAAGATGGCATAGAAGGATCCTGTTGTCCAGACTCTATTGGTAGCCCATACTCATGATCGAGCAACTCAGCAAATGCAAATATAACCTTAGACTCCAGAATATTTATTTATTAAATTTATTTGCCACCCATCTCACTGCCAGGAGAATAATAACAACACAAGACTGTGGTCAGTTGAGCATTAGGAACCAGGTCATGAGGTTCCAAATGCACTGCTATCCTTCCCAGAGACATAGATTAAATGCTAAGCAATATCTGTCTGTCTGTCTAGTTATCCAGGTATCTAGCTGCCTAGCTATTTAGAATCTAGCTAACTATCTTCACTCTAATTTTTAGAAAGGTACTCTTGGTTTACAATCAATTAATGACTCATTCATTGTATCAGTGTAACATCACAAGTACTTAGTGCAGTATGCATTGTATATCAAAGTGGTTATAAGTGGCAGAGATTTTTGATTTTGAAATAGTGCTTTAGGCTTAGTTAGCTCTCTTGGGAAAGACCAAAGGAACAATAACTGATTTAATGAGCCATTCACAGTTTCACTGTGTAGAGAAGCAAAAATAAATGAAGGGAATGCATTACATTTATAACTCCTTCCCTAGGGTGTCCTCTTTTTTAAAGCTAAACTATTGTAACCCTAATTTCAATATGGATTGATAAATTACATCAGATATATCACAGCAGAAATCTATAACAGGTGCTATGAAAATCTGATCAGTTTTAAGCTGCTGATTTACAAGTCAAGAAGACACTTGCATTTAATTAAAGTTTCTATTGCTTTATTAATTTACTTGAGAGCAAGTCCTGATAATAAAGTTTTATTCAGCTATTCAGCTTTTTTGGAGCTTTGGTAGACCTAAGATGGGATCAGAATATTGTTCTGATCATCATCATCATCATCATCATCATCATCATCATCATCATCATCATCATTTTAGCCATTGTCTATGCACTGCAGGATGAAGGCCTCTTCCATATGCTTCCAACCTATCTGGTCCTGAGCTTTCTTTTACCAATCTTGTTTTAAGTCTCTTTTGTGAATGCTTTTTATCAAGTGGGATCCATTCTATGACTGCCTTGGTCCACCTGCTATAAGTTCTTGCTATGTGACCAGCCCATTTCCATTTCCATTCTTTTACTTTCTTGATAATATTGTATACTTTTGTTTCTTCTCTAATCCATGTGCAGATTTCTCTATCATACATAATCCACTAATTTTCTCTATGATATCAAACTTTATAGCCAATACTACCTTTTTCTGCCACAACACGTGGGACAGAGCTCTAATATTCATAATAATAATACAATCACCTACTATTTAATGGCTTATGTTCCAAGAGGCTGTCTTTAAGTCTGTTTTATTCACAAGTCCACAAGCATAAGAAATATGCAAAATGCAGTTCATTCCTTATATGGATGGTGGTCCATTGGACTTTGGGTGTTGGCAGGAGGGAGTATTGGGTGGGGGAAGAAGAGTGGGAGAGGGTTGGGGGTAGTTGGTTTCTGGCATACCATATTGTAGTGTGCTGAAAACTGGCTCTTTCCTGCATTTTCACAATTTCCTTTCCCACTTCTCCCACTACCATGCAAGATTCTCAGGGCCCATCAAATCTTGCTGTGATGCTGCCGTTTGTGTGTGTGTGAACTGTGCTGCACCTGGTCACCACTCCAGCCAAGATTCCCAGGGGTCTGGAGAGGATAGGAGAGGGTTGGTTTCAGCATACAGCCTATGTATGTGGTGGACCAAAGACTGGCTTTTTTCTGGGTTTCATTTTCTGGATGCAAACAGGTTTGTTTGTATTAGCAAAAGTTTGCAACTTGAAAGTTCATTAGTAGAATAATGTCTGTAATTAAAAAATCCCAGTGAATATGGTAAGTGTAGAAGTTTCCAGTTGATTTGTATGCTAACTGTAACATTATTAAGTTTCCCACACATACACATACTGTTAGATAAGGGGCGTGAATAGAAGAGACGGGACGCCGTAGTCCGTTCAGCACTTTATTTCCAGCCGCGATCAGGAACAAGAGAGAGGCAGGCTGCCGGAGCTCTCTTTTTAAAGAGCCCCAACAGTCTTGCCGGCCACTGACAGCGGTTTATTTTTTCCTGCAGCTAGATTAGCCAATGGGCATGCAGATGGGTGCTCCGTATGTCGTACGTAACACCTACAGTATACAAAATAGTTAGCCAGGTGCAGACAATTCCATAGGTGAGCAACTACTGAGAGCCTTCTAAACTTTCAGTTTGTGACTTTTCTGTCTATTTTAAGTAACTAGTAGTGCTTCTAGGCAGTTCTTCAAGCATGTAAAAATAAAGACAAATCACTCCCACAAAGGCTATTAAAAAGATAGTAGTTTCAATTGTTAAAAAAAAAAATCACTATTAAGAAATAATCTATTGAAATCAAGGTAAGATCGGAAAAACGTCATCAGAACTTTCCAAAAACTGATGATATCTGTGAAAAAGAACCAACTGTCATTACTACTAGAAGTTTAGATGATGCTGGAGTAGTGGTTAAACTGGTCCATAGAAAAGAATTGCTTATATAAGAGTGATCTTTATGGGACATTTGTCAAAAGCAATTTTCCCCCATTGTCTTCCCAAAAGACTTTATCTAAAATATGGAAAATAACACTTTGATAATCTTGAAATGTTTTTGAAGAAATTGCTTTGGACTACAATACAATACAATTTATTATTACACTTAGAACAAATAAAAGCACTCAGTATATATACACTTAAAACATCTAGTATAAAGTGATAAATAACTACTAAAATCTATACTAAAATCCAGTGTCAATTATACATGGTCTGACTATACGATAGTTGCAATCCCTAAACTGTGTGGATTGATGAAACATGAATTGAGTTGTTGGGACAGCCAAATACATTTGAAAAAGTGCCAACTGACAAGCACAATGGTGGCTCTATTATGTCTTGGAGTTGTGTCAATATCATATATCAGCCAATATCATAGGAACTATTGAGTAGATGAAAGGAAGAATGAATCCAACTAAATATTTAAAGTTCATAGAAATTAGCCCAACATACAGAACCCCAAAATCACAAACTAAATTCATGTCAGAACTGATTTTGTGGTCAACACCTAGCCAATATGTTTGGGGATTGAGTTAAGTAGGGTCAGACTTGCTAGAATATGGATCAGAGACAACCAAGAACTACTAGATTTGTAGAAAAGATATGTAGGTTGATTCACATTTCGAAGGAAGACAATGGCAAACCATTTTAATTGTTTCCATGCTGTGCCTATGAAATCATTAGCACTCTAATCTGACTTGCTAAGTGCTATTATTATTATTATTATTATTATTATTATTATTATTATTATTATTACTCAGATTCCCAAATTCAAGATACATGACCCAAATTCTTGCCTAGCACCTTTTTTTAGCATATACATAGCTGATAAATCTCACCCAGACTTGTTTGGGTCAAAAAGCTATAGATGCACTGAATTAGGTTTTGTGTGATGTGTAGCTTTTCTTAGGTGTTTACATTCTCTTGATTTTTCAGATCTAACTTTTTGTGCTGCTGTCAAATGAGCCCACAGAAATACAGTATATATAAAATTATTATTTTGTGTTTGGCCGCAAATGATAAGTTGGGATGGTGTATGGGTATAATATGCACTGGTATACACACACAGTAAAATAGATGATTAACTTCAAATATTTTTGAAATTGTCATTTAAATCACAAAGATTTTTTTAAAAAAACTGAAAACACTAACGAGTCATTTTTGATCTAAATGAATGGTGGCTACAGTGGTTTGAGTCTTCCTTTACAATTATTGAATTTGACAGGTAAAGATCTCTGTAGACTACCCTGACTTGTTCCACTATCTTCTTTCTTTTGAGTATATATCAGCAATTGAATTAGACACAATTTTCCCAAACTTGTATGTTGATTGGAACAACACTGTTCAAACAAGATTTTTTTAAAAAAACCTTTTTAAAATGATGCTGACCTCATTTCCCATTTCCTACTTCTCAAGATAGAAATTATTCAGGCAGGAAGTGGTGATTTATCATTTCTAACATAGTGACCAGTAAGCCAAAAAAATAAAAAAATAAAAATAACAGCATAAAGTATGGCAACTTTTGCTTGTCAAGATTAGGATTATCAGCAAATTATAAATCTGCTGTTGGTTAGTGAACCAATGCATTGCTTAAGTATAGTCAGCATGGTTTGTCAAGAGTTTACTCATCAGCCAATAGCAATAATCTGAATAACAGCCCCAGGGATTCATCGTCTACCTGCATCCAGGAAAAGTAGGCACAAGAGAGACCTGGTTAAAGGACCTCTAAAGTCCAAAAGCAGAGTCAGTCAGGCATGAAACATGAATAACGCCAGAGGCAGACATGGACTATAACAGATGTTTCCTTCTGATTGGAAATGCTCTGTGAATCCTCCAAGCATCAAACTCCATATTGTCCCATTTGGGTTTCATTCAGAAATAACTGGGTGAGTTAGATCATGAAGTACAACTGCCAAATACTACTCAGTGTGACTTTAGATAGGGCCACAAGCAAGACCATCCTTCCTACTCCCAGTCTTCTTTCTAGTTAAATCTCAGTGTCATTGGATGCTCAAAGGTATTTTGGGGCCTTCTTTAGAGCAGTGCTTAAGAAACCACACTTTTCACACTTACATCCTTCCATGATTGAAGGGAGATAGGAGAGAATACAATTTCAGCAACTACTTGTCAAAGCACAAACTGAAGACACTTTATTTGTCTACCTTTATATTCAAGACAGCTAGAATATAGAGCAGCAATTTGCCCCTTGGACAAATGATTGGTTTCTTGAATTATCTCCAATAGCAAGCGTTAGCTTTTCCATTCTTATTTTTATAACCTTTCCAAATTTGTAATTCAAAATATATGCCTTCTTTCTGTCATTTTTTTTCAGGGTGCAGCTTTCCCATCTGTACTTCACCATTGAAAAGGCCATTGATCCTTGATGTCATTTTTAACTCATTCATTATAAAACGACAGATTTCAGTTGAAAGAAGTGGTGTATTATTGATAAGCTGCCACCAATGAAGACAGCTTTGTCAAAAGTAAGTTTGGCATTAACAGGCAACTTACTAAATGTTTTGACTTAGCCTGACTACTAATGTAAATGTGTATTTTGAACTTAATTTGTTTCATTTGCATAACCCTTTTGATATAGCTCAGAATTACATTAGCTTTATGTATACTGTTATATCACCAGAATATTTCATTGTATTTTTAGTTGTTGGTTTACTTATTGCATACTTTATTATAAGCTATAATGGAGAATATATCAAGATTGCTATCTTTTAACCATGAAATAAATAAATATATAATTTATTTATTTCATGGTTAAAATATAGCGATCTTGGTGTTTGCTGAGCTTGGTGTCTTCCCTTCAAGATAGACCAGACTTAAACAAAATCGATGTAGGCCAATACTTCTTTTAATGTAATGGAGTTGAATCTTACAAGTGTGAATATGCTTCCATCATCCATCCTTTTATCTTTGTGTGAACTAGAAATGGGCTCATTCCCTCTTCCCTTTATTTTTGCAAATTTTTCATTGCCAAGCTAGGTTTGACATAAGGAAGTGGACTTGCTGTTGTTGTTGTTTTTTTAAATGGTGGCAGCTTGTCCTGTCTGTCTTCAGCAGGATTGTTGTAATTTGTATGCCTGGCTTCTTGACTGTATTGTTGTGACTTAGACTGTTTCCTTCTTTTTGTGTTGTTCTCAGTTATCTACTTGTTGATTGCAGGATGTATGATAAGGAAGGTTTGTTTGTTTCCTTTTGGGCTCTTGCTTTCTGAATATTTTGTAGATTAGGTTTATCAGCTCTATCAGATGTTCTAGAGACCGACCTAAAATATCCCAACTGAATAAAGTTACCATGTGGCCTAGTGACTGAAGAATTGAACAATATTTTTAATGTTCATGTAATATTTTAAAACATTTGTTTTGTATTCTTGGTATAAAAAGGAAGTCTATATATGACTTTAACTTCTGTGGAAAGGTAGCCTTGATGTTGGCTAATTATTCTAGGAGCTAATGTAATTAGCCATTTTTCTTTATGTTTACTTTCATTCAATTAAACAATATTTATAAGTAGAAAGCTTTCTTCAGGCAACCAGACACCTCACATAGCTATCTTTATGCAATTGCTTAAAGGTTTTCAGAATAATTTTACAAAGTATACAGTACATTTATTTATTTATTTATTTTAAATTTATATACCGCCCTTCTCCCTGAGGACTCAGGGCGGTGTACAGCCAGAATTAAAAAACATAAAATACAAATATTAAAAAACAATTAAAATATATATAAATTTGGCCCAAAATTAAAAATACAAACCAATTAAAACATTTAAAATTTCTTCTTAAGCCAGCCCGGCTTGCTGGAAAAAGTGGGTTTTAAGGGCATGGCGGAAGGCACTAAGGTCTTGGATTCTCCTTATCTCTGGGGGTAACTGATTCCAGAGGGTAGGTTTATTTATGTTATTTATTTATGTTATTTATTTATTTATTTTATCAAACATGTACAAGATAACAGATATAAGTATAAAAATGGATATGAACACAGGAAATGGGGACAAATAAATGGGGACAGTAGGACAGGGACAGTAGGCACGCTGGTGCGCTTATGCACGCCCCTTATAGACCTCTTAGGAATGGGGTGAGGTCCACAGCAGACAGTTTAAGGTTAAAGTTATGGGGGTTTGAGGATGTAATAACAGAGTCAGGTAGAGCATTCCAGGCATTGACAACTCTGTTGCTGAAGTTTTATTTTCTGCAATTGAGTTTGGAGCGGTATACCTTGAGTTTGTATCTATTGTTTGCTTGTGTATATTGCAGTTGAAACTGAAGTAGTCATTGACAGGTAGACATTGTAGCACATAATTTTGTGTACTATACTTAGGTCAGACCATAGGCGGCATAGTTCTAGGTTGTGCAAGTCCAAAATTTCAAGTTTGGTGGCATAAGGAATTGTGAGCAAAGGAATGGAGTACTCTTCTCGTGAAATACCTCTGTACTTGCTCAATTGTATTAATGTCCGGTTAATTAATGTATTAATTAATGTATTAATTAATATGATTAATTCTAAAGCACATTTAACATGATTGGTAAAAAGTAACAGTAAGTTTGAGATTTATATTTTAATTTTGATTTATTTATACTGTATTTGGCTTAAGTCAATAAACGAGGTGCTTATTTCATATGGAATGTCTTTTCAAAAACCAATTTCTAACAGTTATAGCAAGAGAAAAAAAAACCTTCATTTTTTTTGTTCTCTACTTTAAGAGAACTTAGCTAATAAACAAAATGAGCCTACTTTTATAAATTTAGTCAATGTTAAGGTCATTTTCTTCATAATTTCTCTTGCCTATAGCCTTTTCAAACTAATCATAGAGAAATGTGCAAAAACTATTCACCATATTTCTCATTGGAAGGAGAAATTTTCCATTCTCTGCAGCGGTGGTTGAAACAGATAATGTAATTTCTTTTTTTTTTAAAGATTTTTTTTCCTTATATTCATAGCAGAGACATCTATAGACTTAGCATTGTGGATCCTTTTTTTCAGTTTTCCATAACTGCACATTCAATTCACTGTAGGATGGCTGGCAGGATCATAGTGCAAACTGTGATGATGCCAAAATAAGAATATGCATATAATTACATCATCCCACAAATGTCTCCCTTATGAATTTGTATGTCAATTCTCACACAGTTTGCATCATTTGCATGATGATGTTATGTGTAGGTCACTATTTGTCCTCCTGCATAGTCCCACAAAAATAATAGTTGGTAATATGACAGTATATATAAACATAAATACACTTTATGCTCTCTGCAGGGATTGCCTTGGAAGACCCCCAGAAATTTCAGTTAATATAAAATACCTTGCTCTACATGCTACCTGGGAGTTGTCACTATAAAAGAATTTCAAATTGAAATTAAAGGGGTGGTTTACCTTCTTAATATGGTTTGATGACTAGATTCCTTCTGTACAGGTAAATTGGCCTTGAATGAGAATTGATTTGTTATATATGATCTATTTGCTTGTTTCTGTGCCTGCTGTCATTACTTTTATATTTAATTTTAATCTCATTTTTCACTGTATTTCATTGTGTTCCTCGATTTTCATTACTACAGTCTGCAAAGGAGCGTCACCAGCATAATGCAAGTATTGATGTTTCTTTCTCTAATTTTAAAACCATATTCATCTTCTTTCAATCCATCTACCCTCACTATATATATTCAGAATATAACTTGCATAAATAAAAGAAACTATACAGCCTTGTCACTCTTTCATCTTTGGTCTTCTTTGAATCCATTATCCGTCCATTGACATCTTTTTAGCAGGCCAATTTGAGGTTAAAACTTCTTCTGAGTTCAGAGATTTTTTTGGAAAAATTTCTCCCCCGCCCCCTTTGTGTTTGGATCAGTCTGTTTCATCTTCCATATTTTTACAATTTTTACAATTTTTATATGTTGTCATATAGCTTCTTGTATTTTCTAAGTGCTCTCTGAAATGGTTAAGTTTCTTCCTGATACCTTTGTCTTTCTTGGCTTTGTTTTCTACAGGCCATGGTTTATGCAAAGAAGAAGAATATGAAGTCTTCCAGATGCTACTGAATTACTTTTTGCAGTTTTCTCAACCAGCATAGCTAATCCTGAAGTATTATAAGAGTCAACATCATCTGGAGAGTAATGAGTTTGATACCTTGGCATAATGGAATAGTGCTTGATTTATTAGGGGATTTGTGGGAATTTATTGTTGTAAGATCCCCCTGATAAATGCAGGCATTTCTATAGCTATCACCTTATTCCATTTCTTTTTAGTAGGCAAGGATTGTTACTGATGTCCTTGAAAAAAGAAGTCATTTTAAGAACCACTTTCATTGGAAAGATACTGAAAGCAATTTCATAGTTCAGATGATTCAGAAACTCTTCTGATTCTTCTTCTCCTAAGGGCAAATTACATGAGGGCTAAAATTAAGGAGATAAAAATGCATGCATAAAACTTGACCTCCAATGATACCATCCTTTCAAAGTTCAACCTTCCCACATTCAAGAAAGAGGTCAAATATCAATTCTACTTGCATTCATTTGAACAGAACTCTCCAAATAATCAAGAAATGTGATAAGATCAGAGGAAACACATATACTCTATCCGAGTTTTCCACAGTTGAAATTAAAATAAAACTATTTAAATAAAGTGTTTAAAAGATGAACTGAAAAATTATAATGGCTAGAGTTAAATTTCAGAAATGGTTCAGCACTCTCAATGTTAAATTCAGAGTCCTAGATGAAGTATCAGTAAAACATTAAGGAGCAACTGAATCTCTAAATGCTAACCTTATGCAGCTCATCCATTTGTAAATGTCAGGTAAGAAAACTGCATATTTATTACACTGATAACAATCCTTACTGGAAGTCCTTTAATGATATTCGTTTCTTTTTCTGCAAAAGGACAATGTATCTAATGTACACCATTATTCTATTGCTTGTTTTATTGAAAATTACATTGCCATGTGTCTTGATTTACTCTTTGATACCATCATCACAAGCAAAGCTAGGCAATTGTCTAATTAAGTCAGTATTTGACTGCTGTTGTGGCAGTCAGATTAAATACAAAAGGAAATTATTTTAAAGTATATATGAGATTTATTTCAAGTTACTTTTTAAGAGATACAAGCTAGGATACAAATGAGAATTTCCTTTGGTAGATTTATCAACTTGATCATCCTTAAGGGCATTCAGACAAGCATTTTAGTGCCTCTTGTTCCTTGTACTGTGGTTTATTTTTTATGACAAATGTATGTGCTAAAAGTGGGGTATGTGCATGCTGTGTGCCTGCAGAAAGAAACAAGGCTAGGAATTTTTAAAAAAACATTATACCTAGAAGTTAAGGAAAGCATATACACATCCCTAATAAGACCACCAAAAAAAGTTGAACATTCTGTATGCAATGTGGAATATTTATACTGAATTTTAAGCTGGGAATCTGAAAATGCTAAGCAGAATCAGATCTAATTAATACCTGAATTGAAGACTATCAGGAAATCCTAGGGCAGAATGGGCTAGATTAGGAAGTCAAAAGAACACCTGGAAGAAGATAGTGGTAAAGTACTTCTATGTAATTATCAAGAAAACTACATGGATGTATTTATTAAGTAACCAGGAGTTGAGTTGGCTCACTGGAGACCATATTTTATTACCTTTTAAAATCTTAAGCAAATGAAGCCAAGCATCTAAGGCAGGGGTGAAATCCAGCAGGTTCTGACAGGTTCTGGAGAACCGGTAGTGGAAATTTTGAGCAGTTCAGAGAACCGGTAGCAGAAATTTTGAGCAGTTCAGAGAACCAGTAGCAGAAATTTTGAGTAGTTCGGAGAACCGGCAAATACCACCTCTGGCTGGCCCCAGAGTGGGGTGAGAATGGAGATTTTGCAATATCCTTCCCCCAGGAGTGGGGAGGGAATGGGGATTTTGCAGTATCCTTCTCCTGCCATGCCCACCAAGCCACACCCACCAAGCCACACCACGCCACCAAGCCATGCCCACAGAACCAATAGTAAAAAAATTTGGATTTCACGACTACTTCTCTTATTCTGATCCTGTCTTTTCAAGGTTTTCCCATCCTTAAGTAACTGCTGCACTGCTCCCAAGCTTGGGGAAAAACGGTGTTGGCTCAACCTTTACATTTAGAAAATCTGAAAAGATCTCTCTAGCTCTCTTTAAATTAATGTTTAGATAAATTTCACATCCTATTTCAGTGCTATTTTAATCCATGTTTCTAACTTCATATATTCTTTTTTTGTTTTGTTTTTTTAAATTTTAGCTGCCTTGAATCCTCACTGAGGGGTGGGGAGGCTGGGTACAAATTGACTCAAGAAAAAGGAAGGAAAGATAAATTTATATTCTGTCCAACTGTTCAATGTTTGATAAGGACACTATTCCAATTAGGATAAAGCTTATTGAGTGACAACATCTATTACATTGTTTACATTGGATCGCTCAGAATCGGAACCCATTTATAAATCTGCTGTTCAAAACTAAAGTAATGTTAAGGTTAGTGGTAATGATTCTCTGTTTACTTCTTTCTACATGTAATTGTCAAAATACTCATTAAAGCTATTTTTTGTTCATAATTCCAGATTTTGCTTTATTGTTTTGAGAACTGTGTTCTATTATATATTTGTATTTCTTGTTAAAACACAATTTGTATGAAAAATGTTGCCAAGTAAATTAATTATTTTTTAAAATAAGAACCTATATTTAAATACATGATGTCAGTTTTTATAAAATGGACCTCCCTGAAAAGTTTGTCAAATATCCTAGCTCATTGTCATTGTTTAAATCAGTGCCATAATTGAATTTTACATTTTTCAATTTACATCTGTTAAAAGTGCAACATGTTTCCTGTCAATTTCTGAGATCAACTGGTGTACTTTTTTCCATATGTATAGTTGCAATCGTAGAAATGTTAGAAATTTTGTTTTAAGCCATTTCATAAAAAAAATGACTTTCTTTTGCTGTCTTTGAGAAGCACAAAATAATTCATGTCTTTGCTTTCTTGTCCCATGAAGAGAACTGAAAAGATCTCTTTGATAAGGAAAAATTGAAATAGTCTCTAATTCCATGAAAGATCTGGGGTTGACATTTCATCTACTTTGAGGACATGGAATTATTTTAAGGTTGTATAGAGCTTACCATGGTATTAAATGGGAAAGCAAGTACCAATGGCTGGAAAAAAAGGAGAAAAAAACTCACTGATTTTGACTGGTATCTTAATGCTGTGATTTATCTCTTTTCAAAACAAGCAAAAAAAACTCCAGTGTAAGTCATGTGAAGCAGCTAAGTATGGTGCTCTGCTGGCTATTTAGCAGCTCCCTCATCCTACAATTTTAAGTAGCTGTAAACAACGAACATCAAATGCTGGCTATTTTTAAAAATACAAATGGAAATGATGTATTATGGGAGAAAATAAAGAAGACATAGGATCTTCTTGCATAATGCAGTTGATAAATATGGATTATATAAGATGTGATTCAAAGAGATTAATAGATGCATCACAACAGATTTTGGCATCAAGAATCCCTGGAGATAATATAACCATTGGGTTATCAAATGAATATGCCCAAATCAGGTTTTTAATAATAAGAAAAGGTTCATAAGACTTTTTGAAAGCTACAATTACAGATTTTTTCTACCAGGCAACATCCACAGTTGTATTCTTCTCCTGGCAGATTTTTCAGAAAATGTTATAAATATTATAAGACAACTTTAGTGTTTAACTTCAATGTTAGCATGTAAGTCACAATTTATCTAACACAATCCACAAACAGTGAAAGGTCACATAGAAACAAGTTATTAACAAACGGATAGGGTAAAAAGCAAAAGAGGATTTGGAAGGGAAGACTTTACCCATACAAAAGTTTCGCTTGCTTTTTTAAAAAAGGCTTCACTAAACATGAATCCTACCATGAAAAGCTTCAGCCTGCTGATTTAGTTTAAGCTTCCTGCTGAGCACCCAGGCTCAGAAATGAAATGTGCATGAGCATTACTAGCTTGTACCGTGATTCATTTGCAATGCATTATTTTAGAACAGTTCTTTAAAAGTATAAACAAACTGGAGCCATACATCAGAATAAAGAACATGGGGAGAAGGGGATAATTTCAAAATAGGAAATCTGGGGTACTAACCCATTTTTTCCTTAAGACTCAAATTGCCCAAAGGTTGATTTAGGCCTTTTATGCATGATTTAGCAGAGAGGAGCTGGTTCACCTGATGCCAACATAAAGCAAAAACTTAAACAAATCATTACCACATTTCATTGGAATAATTTGCATTCAAACTGTATTCTGAATACAGTAGCACTGAATTTATTGAATTGACTATCAATGAATAAATATACATTTAAAGGAAAGAGATAGGGTGGGATTGCAGTGGGAAAAAATCATTTATAATCCACTAGCATTTTCTTCAGATGCAAATTAAATTTATCTGAAACACCTGAGATATTAAGAAGAAGAAGAAAACAAATACTGCAGCCTTGCATATAGTATTTGGGAAGTAAGTTACATAACCAATGCATATTGCTTAAGAATGGAAATGTGTTAACGAAAAGTTATAGAAAGTTATTAACATGCATAGAAAACAAATACCTGAGGCAGTTTATGTAGATTGATGGTTTACATTGGACTAAAAGTGCCCTGCATTTCATTTTATAACTAATTAATTGATAAATATGTTAATTGTATGTTGATAGTTTCCTCATTAAATACAGTTATACTTACGGTTAGGTGACTTTTTAATTTAATTTTTATAGCCACCCATCTCAACCCAGTGACTCTCAGTGGTGGAAAATTCTAAAACAATTTACAACAATGAAAAAATAGATATAGTTCCCCCTTGATTTATAGCCCATCACTTAGGAAGTGT